AGTCAATGAAGACACAATAAAAACCAACGAAGTACCTGCAAACAACAAATCTTCCAAAACGCTAACAAAACCAGATTCTTCGATGCAAGTACACTCGTTCCAACAGCGAAATACCTGCAAAAACCGAACAACTTCGCATACCAAAACATTCAAAATAAAAAGACAACTCAACATTTAATCAGATTGTTGATATCAAATGCACGGGTTTTATTTTCAACGTTAGATTAATGAAAATTGATGCAAAAACTTTAGATATTTATCTGTAGATTTAGTGTAGAAATATACCAAATATTGATAGCCACACAATGGCGGAAGTTTACACATCAATATCTAATTTTCTGCATTAAAATGAAATTTGATGTCTTCATAAATTTAACTTTGAAATGAAGGCCTGCGCAAAGACTCGCCATTTAATCTCGACAATTGATTAAATATACAGCGAAACCGATCGACATATTCCTATGTCATAGATTAGCTTTAAAATGTTTCTTTGCAAACAGGATACAATGGTTTTAGTTTGTGAGAAGAAAGAGTATTGTTGTTTTTCCTTGATGTTGTGTAGAAAATACTTCGTTGTACACGTTGGACTGTTTGCTCTAAAAGAATAAGGAAATGCGTTTTTGACACGTGTGGTCTAGCATTCGTTCGATTGATGTTGTGGACGTGTATTTTTTGTATTGTTATACATCATCAAGTTCGAGTTAGTAGCGAAGCGTAAGCTAGAATAGAAGGCGGAAAATGTTTCTTTCTTTCTTGGTTTGTTGAAGTTCAGGTTGGGGAGGAGAGGGATGCAAAGTCGAATGGTCGACGATGATATGATGAACACTAGAGATTGGGCATGAGACTCTGATTGGTAATAGCTCTTACGTTTTTACTGATTGTTGTGCATCTTAGCGAATTGTGTTTTGAGGTTAGGATAGAGTTTGAAGTGCGATATTTGAAAAGAGAAGAAGGCTGGTTAGTTTTTAGAAATGTTTTGTTTTGCGTTTATTTTCTCATGGTGGAAAAGAATTGGAAGTCAGGTTTTAGTTCAAAATATATCTACTATAGTGTATACTTTCACATTAGATCAATGTACATATACAGTACATTGGATCCGCCGCCATCACATATATACAAGTGACGAGAAAAACCTGAACTAGCAGCAGCTATTTGACTTAAAATTCGATGACTATGGCTGCAAGAAACATTTAAATAAATCACACTATTCGCAGACTAAGTTTGGGAGAGTAATCTGAACAGGAAAGCTAAAAAACAAAATTTTTTTGCCCTTTGCCTTTTAAACTGATAATCGTCCAAGGTTCGTTTGAAGAATTTTTGCAGCCTTAGTCTTTTCATGTTAAGCTAAATACTATTAGTTCAAGTCTTCTCGGAAAAAGAATGCTTGGATGAAGTAAACCCTGAAGAGGGACTGTTCAAAAAGCAGATATAATATTTAAAGACTGAAATAAATGCAAAAAGTAGATGAAATCTGTGAAGCCCTTCACTTCACTTCATATTCCAGTGGTGTAAGTAGATGATCCTAGTGCTGAGAAACATGAATTTATGTTCTGCATTGGCCTGCTAAGCAACTAAGATGTCACTAGTAGCTCACACTGAGAGGCATTGTACCGGTACTAAGGATGTGCGGTAACTGGTAATTTACCGTCGGTAACGCTAAAAGTCTTTTTACTGGGGTAACGGTACGATGATTTTACCGAAAAACGAGATTACCGCGGTAACGGTAAAAAATGTTTTACCGAAGGTCCGGTAAATACTTTTTACCGAATTTTTCTCCGGTAAAGTTCTTTTTACCGAACTTCGAACTTATGTCTTTTATTTTGTTTTTATTTCTTTATTCCCTTCTAATTCTGACCATGCGGTGATATAAATTCATGCATTCTGCGTTTAGGTGAGGGTTAGGGTGAGCGTTTGGTATATCTGGAATGCAGAATCGTGTTAATCTCAAAGCTAATGGGTTTAGCTATAGTATGTTCTTGAAAGACAAACTTTAATTAATTCTAATAGACGATATTTTAGAATAGAAAAAGAATATGTAGCATCGAAATCTGAACTGTTGTTCATGACTCAGATTACTTTTATTCATTTGTCTGAAGAACATTTAGAAACACAAACATAAGCAAACAACATTTATTGAAACGAGTCAATGGTAAAAGAAAATTACCCGGAAAATGAACGGTAATAGTTTTTTTACCGAGACAAAAAATCGGTAACGGTAAAAGAGTTCTTACCGTACGAAATTTACCGCGGTAACGGTAGTTGAATTTACCGAAAAGCGAGATTACCGCGGTAACGGTAAACGGATTTACCGGTCACCGCACATCCCTAACCGATACACAATTGTTTTTTTTGGGAACAATTTGTTGCGTGATTTTCTTATTGAAGGAAAGAACATATACTAGTCGCCACTTTTTATACCGCCGTTTGCGACAGAGTTTCTGTGTTTATGTATTGAAATGCATCATTCATTAGTGTGCTAAATAAGGGTAATCTTAAACTAGTTTCAAAGTAAAGTTTTAAACTATCACGAAACGTAATTAAGTATGAATATCGGTGGCAAGAAAGGCGCTATTTTTTCCAATTTTTTTTCTTGCCACTTCCGTTTCCCCAGATAAGTTAAAAATTGAGTGTATTGCGACAATATGGCGATGAGTTTGATTAGCTGAAACTGATAATTGATGGCAGCAAACACTTTTCTTGTTTCCTTTCACCTTCACATGTCTGATATGTGGGATGCGCTAGATGTATATCTCGTATAGTGAGATGAATTCACTTTAGATATAGGTGAACTCCGTTGAAATTCAATGGATGAAATTTTAAAATTCAAGCCGAAAAATTAAAAGGACTTGTTTGCACAAGAGGATTTACATTGGAAAAAAGTAGTTACAGCGATATTCGATGATGTCACTAGTTGACAACAACATTTCTCAAACGTAGCATGGCGATACCGTCGACTATCTCTGTAATTGCTTTTTGTCGATAGAAATCCTCGTTTGTAAATAAGTTCTTTTAATTTTTCGACTGAATTTTAAAATTTCATCTATTGAATTCAACGCAGTTTTCATTTATCTGAGAATGCATTTGGTATCACTCACTATAGCAGACGCACTTCTCGCACAGTTCACATACCAGTCAAAGACTTTGGTCACATAAAAAAGTCTGGCACTTTTTTCCGCAGATTGACTAAACGGAATGTACGAAAGCTTCTCTAGAGGATGTCCAGTTTGTCTGGTCAGATATTTCTAAGTAAAAAAGTCCCTGCCTGTTTTCTTGGTCAGAATCTCTTTTTGTCCCGATCAGTGAAAGAAGTTAAGGCAACCATTTTTCTCGTGATCATAGCTGTTTATTGTACACATGACAATATTCACTTTAATGATATCTTGATACGATGGTTACTAGTTCTCCACAACAATCGCTGCCAGGCGACTCATTATTATCAATGTGCAAGAAACTGCTTCGTCAATCAATACGAATATTGGAAATAGAAAAACAAGTACTCATAACATGCTAGAGTTTGTATGGAGACGACAGCTTCCATCTCGATGTTGTAAAAGTATATTGACACCAGTCGAAAAAGCACTCAAAAATGAAATATGAAAGGATGAAATATTTCGCTTATCGTACAGGTACAAAGTAAGTTTAGTTCTCTTTATTTGTTTTAAAAGTCAAGCAATTTCACTTCACCGGCAGTGTTCCATCCCAATTCCATCTTTTTCAACTGGCTTTTGTGACTTGAAAAATATTTCCAGTGTATAGGGGATGCAAAACAATTCATTAACAGTTTTTCCTTGAGTAATCAAGAAGAACAGACATTTTTAGAACCACATTGTTTTCCAGCTCAAAAGCGACGCTCTTCTGTATTTTTCCTCGACATCCTTACCAGAAATCTAAGAGGGCTCAGAAGTTAATAAAAAACTAGAAATATAGTCCGAGCTATTTTGGCATCTCCCATACTCAATTCAATTGTGTGAACGAAGTCAAGTAGCTGGTTAGTGGTAGAATCGCCATGTGGAAAATCCGATTCTAGATAGTTCTAAAGTATGTGTTGTTGTTCTTAAATAGACAGTAACAGAGTCGCGAGAAAATGACGCGCTGTAATAGTTGCGAGAATATGTGGGTTATAACAACAAGTGGGCGATAGTTGTTAGGAATACAATGTTCGTCGTCTTTAGAAGAGGATTAATAGAGCTCGCTTTAAAGCATGATCGAAATTCTCCTCGTAAAACTGACTAATTACATATGTCAGCAAAGATCTCGTTTATCACTCACATGATTCTTTTGCCCTCCTGCTAGTTACCTACGGACTATATGCGTTATTTGAGTTTAATTTTTGTAGTATCCGTTAAATCTCACCTGCACAGATTTTCCCAGTAATGTGACATTTCGTTGAAGAAAGAGGTAGAATGTCCAGCTGGATAAATTTATTCGCACCTGTGTCGCTCATAGTAGAAACTAAAGCAAAGAACAAGTTCCAATAAATCAACTATTTTAGATAAATGTGGATTTTAGCCAACTGTTTTTGAGATAGTACCTAACATTAAAGTATCAATTAGTTTATTTTAACTTCATTATATTTTAAAATATCTATCGGTTTATTTTAGCAATTAAAATCGCATGGTAGTATTGTAAGTCACTGATCTGACTGTGTTCTACGCGTTTTAGAAGTAGCCGTCGTGAGTTATCGTAAATTAATAAAGCAACAAAATTTTTGTGTCCATACGTACTTTTGTTTTTATAAAGAGAATAACACGTGTACAGCATGAAGAAATAAAGTAGCATTAAATAAAAAAATGATGGGGGGATTAGAGGGGTGAGATTAGATCGACATATTTTCCTCTCTGTTTTGTAATCTTTGTCTGATGAAATCAATTCCATTAACTCAAGCTAGATTTAAAGCATAATGAAATGAACAAATGACAAAAATCATCAAAGATCTATGTAGCTTTAAATAAAGATTTGTAAACAAATACACATACAACATTGATCGAATCTAGTCAATGTCAGTGAAGTTCAATAAAATCACATAATCTTTGTGACAGAAATTCGTAATACTTTAATTTTGTGTTTCTAATGTGCCTAGCCACTAAGCATTTGAGACTGAATTTCATCACATCTTTTATAAATAGTTCTATTGTCCGTAATCTTGTACATTGTAAAGGTATCTGATTGTATTGGTTAGCGATATCCCAATGACAATTGGCTTCATTCAGTGTCTGTATAATTCCTTTAATTATAAGAATATCTTTATTTGGAACTATGGATCCATAATAACTAGCAATAATATGTAATGGTGTATTTCGATTAACATTCAATGCATTGATATTTAAACCACCACAGTCAGTTAGTAACTGAACTGCGGACAGTGATGGAAATCTTCAAAAAGAAAACAAGTGTACAAGAGTTTCGACTAAATTGATAGTTTTTATTTAGAATAAAAGCACTAGACATACTTGCAATAGAGTCTCACATGATGATTATCCATTTTTGTATGTGCATCTGTAGCTAAATGTAAAAGGGTATCACCATTAGATGTGTGAATATTCATTCGATTGAAAGTATAGATTAATGAATCGAACCGGTTTTTTATGATGACGTCATTCTTTATTTGATTTAATACCTACAAGAAGAAGCATAATTTATCATGTATATCTTCGATGTAAGCTTATACGGTACCTGTGATGCGACTACCACTAAGTATAACATTGTATGTAAGTTTTTATCTATTCTCGCTTGAGATATAACTCTTTTTAAGATTTTACATGCACTCAGCATTACATGATGCAATACTTGAAATGGAAAACATTGTTTATGATGAATAATTTCAAAGAAAATCCCAGAAAAAACGAGTAAAATATCATCCTCATTACCATCGTGTTCACTTATATTTAATGCATGTAATAAAAACTGTAGTGATTTTGTAAACTTTTTTTGTCCAGCATAAATTTGACCAAAGTGTTTCAGTGGATAAATTAATTGTGGATTTGTTTGACCAAGAATTCTTTCGCGTATCATTAATACTTCCATTTTTAATGCTTCAGAACTATGCCGAATTGACTTCAGTTCTTCTTGTGTTTGACATTCTTTATAATTATTATAAACTTCCATTGCTGGTACAAGATTTGTCTTTGATAATGACATTTTTTCGCGTAACTTCATTGCTCGTAACAAGCAATCATAACTATATTCTATTCTTTTTCTATAACAGTAATACGAAGTACCTAACAATTCGAGAGCTTCAATTTGTTCGATATCGGTACAATAACGATTTTCAATAAAATAATCAACAAGTCCTTCATATAACTGTTCAGCAGCTATCATTAATGGTGTCATTTGGTGTGAGTTTTTAATATTTCTATTTACATTTTCTGACGACAACAATAATTGAACAATTGACCAGTGCCCTTTTTCGGTAGCTAGATGTAATGCCGTTGATAAATTTTCGTAATTTTGTATATTTGGATCACATCCCAGCTGTAAAAAATAATCAACGATCTCCGTATGTCCATAATAAGCGGCTAACATTAATAAAGTTTCATTGTTTACATTCAAATGATGAATGTCAGCTCCTTGCTCTACTAGATACTGAACGATGTCTATATGACCGGCATAGGTAGCAGCTTGTAACGGAGATACGTTTGTCTCGATTGAATGATTTATATTCGCACCATGTTCAACTAACAGTTGTGTGATACTTAAATGACCAAACCAAGAAGCGATCCACAAAGCTGTTGCATTGGATATGATTTCATCATTATTACATATAACTACACTCTCTATTTCAAGATCTGGTTTACATTCGGTTAGAAACATCTTAACAATCTCGTAATGACCATTTTTACATGCAATTATTAATGCTGTACATTTTTGTTCTGTATCATCTTCATACAATATATTTAAATAGATGTTAATGTCATCTATTGGGATTGTATCTAAATATACTTGTATATTCTGTGTCATACCATCTCTACTATCTTCGTAAATTTGTTTTCCTATGGATGAGTAGTGATCAGTTGATTTTGACTCTATACTCATTGATAAAATATTTGAAAATAAATCAATAAAGGTAGGTCTACGAGCATTTTACTGTTGTTATATTCTGCACTATAAAAGAGATACTGACTAGATCTCATATTTTCCTTTCTTTCATATAATTGCAGTATGATGAGTCCACGTGTCATCTTCTCTACTCGTTATGGATATTATTGTATATTTTTATATTTTTTCCTGTTCTTTCTCTCTTTGTGCATCATTCAAACACTGATATACAACAATTCATTATCACTGCAAAAAAGGAATACTACACAGATTGTCATTTAGAAGTATGTACACGTCAGTTTCAGATGAATATATCGGAAATAGAATAGAAGAATGACAATAAACAGAATATTCTACTTTTGAGGCAAATAAGATGCAAGAACGTCGACTGTAGCGAAAAGACAACGTCCCACTAAACAAAGTTAATATATTTGACGGATTATATTAATAAATATTTAAGTAAAAAGAAAAAACTTAATGATGTTTCTCTCGAGTTTACCAGATGACATGTTTTGTCTAGCTGCTTCTAATTACAACAAGCTCAACAATGTACTAATGAAATATCTCTTTGATGTGAGAAAATGCTCGTTAAACTTAATGCTGATAAGTGTCAGTGTATTACTTTTGATAATATTCAGTCAAAAACAAAAACAAATTTAGGTGATTTAAAAATAAACAACGTATAAGTGGAAAGTGTTAAGATATTGATCATCTCACAATTTCAAATTTCACTTTTAGATTGTCATTGTTTTTGTTCCCAAAGAAATATCATCGAATTCGTTGTGCAGTGAATTTAACTTCTTTTATCTTTCTACATTTATTTTTGCGATTTTCTTAGGTATTGTCAGGAAAACTCAGCGTGCCGAAGGCGTGCAGAAAAAACACCTCTTGCTACCGGTGCCTCACGATGCGCTAGCCTGGCTGACGTGGATATCCGTTAAGCGCCCGCTGTTGCATGGAATTTTGGTCTGTTTGGCTGAGCCATGCCTATGTTAATATAAAAAAGCTTGAAATAGAACTTCTAATACATGCGCATGCATATCTACTGAATAGTATGAGGCAATTAACTAGGAAGAGAAAAATCAAAATAAAACCACGGAGGAAAAATTTACAGTTACGCAGACAGAGACGCAGAAAAAGAGAGGAATAAATTGATAAAAAATAAAATCTAATAGAATGAATTTTATATACCATTTGTATACCATTCGGCAGAGAATTTCTCGCGCTACAACTTCATATATACAAAATAGTGAAAAAAGTGTCCTAAGGCGTCTTGACATTAGAAATACTTTCTGCAAAGTCGTGACAAGTGGGTGACTTGGTCAACTGTGAGGATCCTATGATCAAAGTTTCTCAACTACCCACTACGATACATATATCATTCGATAGAGAATTTCATGAGCTTCAAAATCAACTATAAATAGGTCTTTCAAAAATATGCCCACATGGGTCAATAGTTGAAATACTTTGTCGATATAATGAACTTCACCGATCCTAGTAGTTTCAACACTCCGTTAGTCGTTTTTCTGCTATAATGAAAAATTATGTATGGTTCGAAAATATACCACTGAATAGCCCTTGAAATTCTCTACAAAGTGAGCTGACCGCAATATCTAGTCGGGTGGGACCAGTCATTAAAGATATGGAAAATAAGCTTTTATCTAAGCAGTACAGTATGTCATAATCACAAGAACTCCAGTGTTTTTGGCTTTTTAGTAAAATCTGAAATCAATCTGAATAATGTTTTGAATAGCCCAAAGATTTTTCTATCAGATGAGGTGCATATCGCCCTTTCGTGACAGAAGTTCATAATAAAATTTCTGAAAAATCTGACCGCTGAAAAACCAAGTCCTTAGTTTTTAGTGAGAAAACTTTGCAAACCATATAGTCTGATAGAGCGAAGAATTTAGCAAAATAAGACATCTCCCGGCATTCTATAATGCTTTTTCACCCAAATATTTTGGTAACTTTCATTCCCTTTGTGGCTAGTGATAAATCGACTGGAGTTGCGTGAAAAACCACTATAGAATGCCGGGAGATATCTTATTCTGCTCAATTCTTCGCTCTATCAGACTATATGGTTTGCAAAGTTTTCTCACTAAAAACTAAGGACTTGGTTTTTCAGCGGTCAGATTTTTTC